AAAACCTACTTGGAAACACTCAATTGGGAAGTTTTACCCCACCCGCCGTATTCACCAGACATTGCTCCCTCTAACTATCACTTGTTTCGATCGATGACGCACGGTTTGTCTGAGCAGCACTTCACATCATATGAAGATACCAAAAATTGGGTTGATTCGTGGATAGCCTCAAAAGATGAAACGTTCTTCCGACACGGTATCCGTATGCTGCCAGAAAGATGGGAAAAAGTAGTGGCTAGCGATGGACAATACTTTGAATAAAACATAAGGTACCGTTCTTTCACAATAAATGCCCAATTTTTGATAAAAAACGGCGGAGACTTATTTGTATTCCCAATAAATTGTGAATTAATCACATTCGCAAACATCAGGTAGAATTATTATGCGGGTTTATACGTTACCTTAGCAATGGTGTACACGAAGAACAAAACTATTCCTATCGTGTACAGCGGCATTAAAATCCCCATTGTACTGTTTCCTTTTGGAGCTGGAACAACATGACCAGCGCCACCGAGAGGTGGTCTCATCTTTGGCATGATGTGTTCCGGTCTGTCCACTATCCTTGGTACAACATGAGAAGACGGTATGGCCCTTCCCCGTTCTCTCATTGCAGGATGCATTTCGCCTGCATGGGAAGGAGTACGACGCTCCTGCCGTATGGTATCTATGCACATATAAAATATCTATAGATTATCCATAAAATATACTTTCACTTAGCATCTTGCAAGAGATGTCAATCTGCATTGACATGCTAGAAATAAATATAAATAAGAAATAAAAATAATAAAAATTATATAAATAAAAATAAGTTAATTTTTGCAATATAGAAGTAACAAAGACTGTTATAATTTATTCAAATCCAAAACTATTATATTTAAATCCAAAACTAATTTTCTATATTAATATATAACTATATATGTATAATTTTTATAAAATTTAGAGTTTCTCTGTTGAAAATTTGAATAAAGAATAATAGGTCAAATGTAATTGTATTTGAAGCTGACTATGGGCCAGGTCTTGTTTGCCAAACATCACGCTGGGTTTTTTGGCATTCAGCCAAAGCAAGGTAGACAACTTGAATTTACTTTCCATATATACATCATGATGTGATGCATCAAAGATATATTTCTTTAAATTTACCTAATTATATAATACATAAATTATATGATTCTTGTGTGAATATCGCTGATTAAATTGATATATTAGTCTGAGTTAGCAGGACAAAATTACACACATTTTAAAAATGCCTCACATCATACAAACACATAGTTAATTATTTATTAATGAATAAATACTGGAATAGTGTAACAAGATTCTGTTAATGTTAAATGACAATTAATTTACATGTCCTTGTAATTCTTACTGTGTGGCATCAAAATATGATATCTGATAAGATGAGGTGTGCCTAACTGTGACAGTGGTACACCAAAATTCATTTTAAGACAGAGGGAACCATTGAAGGATCTAATTTCTTCTAGTACTTGTTTATATGTCTTTCCCAAGCTTTCCCTCTCAGCCAAAAAGGATGATAAGTCTATGCCACATCGGGCTAGAACTTCTTCTCTGCACAAACTGGAGGTCTGAGGGGTCAATTTGTTATGCTTTAACGCGTCTCTAATGCGTGGATCGACTGGATGATGTCGCAATATATTTTGACACATTTCTTGCATAATGTCCACCGCAGTGACATCACTTTCAAATATTACTTCGCAGCATGCTATACAAATGTGAACCATAAGATAAAATCACCTGAATCTCTTCAAGTCAATTGATAAACAACAACTTAAAGAACATAATAAGAACATTTCTCGAAGAATTTTATATTAATTTCCGCCTGTGTATGTATATATATATATATATATATATATATATATATATATATATATATCACTCTAAACATTTAAAGTCACGTTACAACGTTATTACTTCCAAACGAATTTCTTATACTATTAATGTAGTCTAGCACGTAGAATATTGTTGGACTCTTACCAGAACTGTCCGTGTGGTGATGTGAAGTGACAGATGCTGTGAGCATAGGGTAGAAAATTTTCGGCCATAACACCGCAAAGCAGCCAGCCACAATCGCGAGTATAAAAATCGTCTTTCTCGGTCCGAAATCCGTTACTTCGGCCATTTTCGTCGTAATAGGTTCGTCGTTCGTAAATGTTTCGTGCTTCGAAAACTTCGGATAAAACTATGATCGCGAGTCCTCTCCTCCGCACTCACATCCAGGGATCTCACGACAAAGAGACGAGATGGAAGCAGCCGCCGCAGCGCACTGTCGTCTGCTATTTTTATCATATCACAGTGCCGTATTGTCGAAGCGCGTCGCCCAAATTTTCATTTTGTTTAGAGAGGGTTACGGAAATAAATCACGTATGAAACACGAAATTATAATAAATATTTGCGGAAAGTCCAAACATGAGTATATTGAGTCTCGAACAACATTTAAAAATATTACGCATTTATTTGCAAAAAAAGTTCTGATTATCAATGGTAGATATTTAGACATTTTTTAAGATGGAATCAAATTTGAAATGAATTTGTAAATTGTAGAGAAAATTCTCGATTATACGATATTACTTCGAATATATTAATTTTACTGGATTAATATTATTAATATTATTCTTCTATTTTAATGTGAAATTTTATTCTGTAGAACAATTCGCACGACTTATTGCCGTTACTGTCGTCATAAATCAAAGGCTATCGAGAATAGCGATTTATTTGAGACTTTGAGCAACTATTTTAAAATATTACAATAATATAATAGCAACACAAAATAATACACAACATACAATAAGTTTTTCCTTAATTTTTCAATTATAGAAGAAAAGTATAAAAATTTGCAGTAAAAATTGATTGCAAGATATTTGATCAGAATCTTGTTATCTTGTGATCTAGGATTAACTCACACAGCAGGAATGAGCTGAGAGTTGTGCCAAAAATAGCAGGCCCTGGCAATGTCACGGTAGACCTTGCCCGATAGACATCTGGTATGAATGTGAAATAATATTTGCAGTGCAGAATCTCTTTCTCTCCCTCTTTCTTTCTCTGTCACGATCATTTATTTAAATAGCACATTGCATCGAACACATAACAAAGTTAAGTACTTAGGACTTAGAATATTCTAAATGTACACACTATAAAATCACTCTGGTCCACCACGCTGTAACATACAAAAATATATGCTAAATATTAAGTATATAATAACATATATACAATATATATATGTCCAAATCTTCTTAAATATATATACATGTACATATATCAAGAGACAGATGAAAGCCGTAAAAAATAAGACTTCTGTCGTATTAAAATTCTCATTAAAGAATTAATCGTAGCTTACGTTAATGTACTCGATTTCCTTGTCACCTAACGGCAGTCTCTGATACCTTGGCGGGAGGTAAAGGTCTTCTATCGTCGGGAGGACGGTCACCCCAGGACCCGTTGCACCGCTGCCCGCACTCCGCTTCATTTGACTCGGCCCTGATCGCGCAGATGGAGCGGCTGTCGCACCAGCGACTTAACCAATAATGCCAATTTCAATGTCACACTTTTTTTAATCGAAAAATAGATGCACGTTGGCCACAGTGGTGTCAATATACATTACCCAAATTAGAGCCACCTTTGCGAAACCTGATCATCGGTACGTGCGGCTTAATCACCTGCAAGAAAAATCACGTAATCATCTGGTGGAAATGAGAATCGCGTCGCGTAAATACGGCAGTGGCGATGTTTAACGCGAGATCATCACAATACAAGACGATTTCTGGCTGTCTCTTCCAGATGAATTCGCACTGACCTTCCAAACCTGGCTCGCCATCATCAAATTTTTCTCTAACCAATAAGTCTCTAAACACGAGATAACCTCCAACTGAACTCGTCTACACGACGAGAGCCACCGCTCCCCTCAGCTGCCTCCAGCTTCTACTAACAGCGGTTAGATGGCGTCTCAGTACTCGACGGACGACCAAACGAGTCTTGACGATACGGGCCGTGACCAAATTCTCGTCTCGTGTGCAGCGGAAAAGGGTGAATTTACGCCGACAGCCTTGCGTCTCCCAGATACCACGATCTCCCGTTACCTCGAGGACGATGAAATTCGAACGATTCCACGTTTGTATGTAATAGAATAGACTGGCCATTGGAGTCAGGATTTGGAAGCTATTCAAAGAATCTCATACGATTATAATATAGCGCCCTCTTCTCAGGTAAAAATATTCAAAAATATCGTTGATAAAGCGGAGAATGAAAAATTGCGTATCTCTGAGTATGAATGCGTGAGATATAATGCCATTTTTTTTAAAGTATATGTTTAGTAATGCTCATTAATATTTATTAGCTCTCAACATATATGAGAGCTAATAAATTCGACCTCGAAAATCGCAGAGATATTTCCTTATGATCACGTCATAAAGCAACTCGCCAAAATCCAATTAAGTGCACTGCACAGATTTGTTTGAACAAACTGTTCCAGAAGTATAAGCGATTACTGTTGTGATTACGTGTTTGTTTCTAGAGATAAATTTTACATGGAAAAAAGAAAAGAAAGTTTGCTTTCTAACACCGCGTATATTTGATCAAGAAAGCCAGGGGAGATTTTTGCGTATTGTGTTTTAATTTCTACGTGCAATTTGAACAGAGCTAGGAGTTTTTCCTGCAATATCACGCCGGACGTGTTCGTTCCTGTGGTCGCATATACATATGTATAATTGGTAAACATATACCGGCTCCTTTATTGTGGGAACCATCGTCGTCACGCACCGTGTCGGCACACACTTAAAATGTAACGTTTCATAGGCACAGCGTGTGTTTAATGAAACAACTCGTTCCGTTCTCGAGTCATGCCTTCGATGCGTTAACCCTTCGGATTCGCGGCGTTTACAGGCCTTTGTGTTTTTGTCGGGGAACGTAAAATCATCGGTTATTTACCGTAAGAACGTTTCCGTGAAGGAGATCGTACGCATTGTGATATGATGTAACGATAATGACAGCAATATTATTAATAATATATTTTTAGCAATAGATAAACGGTCAGAAAAAATACCACTTCTACTTCTATAATAACAGAGAAGAAAGTTTGATTGTACACTGAGAGGAAAAACATTGAAAAATTAAATATTTATTCGATGGATATTAATAACATATTTATTCGTACTATATACATACTTTTACATTGAGAAAAATTTTCTCTCAAATGAGAAAATATGTCTTAATAAAACCGTTGGTTTTTATGAAAAATTGTTTATTCTAAGTCAATTCTTAAACAAAAGAGAGAGAGAAGAGAAAGAAGAGAGAGAGAAGAGAGAGAGAGAGAGAACTTAGATTTAAATAAATATGTTATTAGTCCCACCAAATCAATATATTTCTACTTTTCAGATATTTTTATTTCTCAATGTATTAACATGAAATTTGATTATAATGAACAAACTAATATATCTTGATCACAGAAAATAGAACTTCTGATTCCTGGAGATATAGATGTGGGTCATAAGAACTATAGAAATTTTGCGTATTTAAATCAGAACGCATTGATTCATTTATTAAGACCAAACTTTACTTCAATACAACAAACATTTTTTCCCGTGTATATACTGAGAAAAAGATATTTGGATATCTATTTGTGAGTAAAAATTTCTTTCGCGGAATTAACTTTACGTTACAAAAATGGATCTTTAAGTATTTTTTTGTTCAGTGTTTCATGATCATTTCAAATCGATAGGGCTGCATCGGGTACGTTAAAATTCCCAACGCGAGTTTCCGCGGAGTCGTCCCGCGAATCGCCCTAAATCGCGACGTGACGGCGAAATCAACGACGTAACTTTCCCCACGAGGCGATCATCGAAACGGCGACGCGAGTTATTTCCGACCGCGCGGCCACGTAGCCGCGCAATAACGCGCGGGAATATCGATACGCGCGCGCTTCTGAAAAGTCCCTTCGGCAGGCCAGTCACGAGTCAGCGACACTAACGGCAATTACAAATGCTCAGCTCGTAGTTTCACGCGCCAAGGGAATACAGAGAACCGCAGGCGGCCGACGGCATTCGCCTTTTTTTTTCATACGTCGACAGTCGCGAGCGACCGGCGAATGTCGCTTACCTCTTTATGGATCCGCACCCGTCCGCTTCCTCATATCGAACACTCGGCCCATTGTAAGGGCCCAACGGCTCGACATCGCTCGAATCCGGCACGACAATGCCGAAGGTCCTTTTTGTTCGGGAAAGATGAACGGGAGGGGAATGACGCTGGAATCCGCGGTTTTATTCGCCACGTGACATTTTAGATCGTTCGCATAAGGATAAAATAACAAATATATATTCTCGTTATAACAACTGTTCTCTGCGTTTGCACATTTGCGAATTATTCATTCAGGTTTGCAACGCAACGCAAATAGTTTGATCGAATTGACAGACAGCCAAAACGCGTTTTGCTTGAAAGTAACAGAATTTCTGGTTTGTACGCCGCACTGGGAAAAATTACTTGGGAATTTATCTGTGGAATATAAAGTTTATTCACGAAAACAAACTTTATATCCCACAAACGAATTTTCAACTATTTTTTTCAATGTGAGAATACAATATCTAAAAAATATCTAAAAAATAAAAAAATTGTTCAGTGAGTATTGATAATATATTTACTTAAATCTAAATTCTTTTGTTTGAATAAAACGAACCATTGCCTCCGTGACAAGCTATGGTTTTAGGAGAACCCATATTTTCTTATTTGAAAAATATCTCACTACTGTGTCCAAAAAGTAAGACCAGTTTTCAATTTAAATCGCGCGGGTAAACCGCACATCATAAATATTTTTTTTCTAAGTTGGCAGCATTGTGACAGACATCTGTGACAAATTTCATGTCAAAACATTCATTACTTTTTGCTTTACGCTTGGTTTTGTATGACGCTAAAAGTGCATTCGGCGATTTTTACAATGTCTAATTATATTGAGCAAAGAAGTTGCATTAAATTTTGTTTGCGGAATGAAATTTCGGGTGCAGAAACGTTCAGGATATTGCAGAAAGCCTTCGGGGACCATGCTTTGTCGGAAAGGAATGTTTACAAGTGATATAAGCAGTTCAAAGAAGATCGTGAAAGTGTTGAAAACGAAGAGCGTTCCGGACGACCATCAACCTCTACCGATGAACAACACGTTAAAAAAATCGAAGAACTTGTGCTTGCTAATCGTCGAATGACTGTTAGAGACCTTGCTGACGCTGTTGGTATTTCGAAAGGATCTGCCAATACCATTTTGAAAGATATTTTGGGCCTGAAACGTGTAAAATCTCGACTAGTGCCAAAACATCGATAATGCACCTTCTCACACTGCACTCGTTCTTCGTGACTTTTTCGCCAAAAATTCGATCTATATCGTACCACAACCACCGTATTCGCCTGATTTAGCACCGTGTGACTTCTGGCTATTCCCGAAACTCAAAAGTCCACTGCGGGGAAATTGTTTTGAGACGATAGAAGAGATACAACGTGAATCGCTACGCGCTCTGAAAGTCATCCCGGAAGGCGACTTTAATTCTTGTTTCGAGGACTGGAAAATACGTTGGCATAAGTGTATTATGTCAGGAGGGAATTACTTTGAAGGCGACGAAATAGATTTGGAAGAATAAATAAAAACTGGTCTTACTTTTTGGACACAGTAGTATGTTAATGTAAGAGTGAACCAATCTTATGTTAATGTAAGAATACTCAAGAAATAAATATCTTTTATTTCTTAGATTTCTTAAATATTTCTTCTCTCACAGTGTATGAACTAAATTCATAAATTCTAAAAACTAGAAATTCAGTTTCGTTCAACCAAGACGCGCTTATTTCATTCAAATTAATTTCACCTATTAAAATGCGATATTCCACAATACATATATTTATTAAAAAAATGCGACACACCTTACAATTATAATATCTAAATAGTCTCACAATGATCGGATCACACTGCAATTTTCGAGTACTTCGACTGAGCGCCCAATATCGCGCGAAACGAATAATTCTATCTGTGTGCGATAGAGACGTGTCAATCGAGTTGAAATTCGTTGTCGAAGAACGAACGTTCAGTTATTATCTTTTTCTTTTTGTTTTGTCTGCGCCTTTGTTATTCAATAAGTCGATGCCGCGACGATGTTCAAGACACGTCAGGTGTAACAGTATTCGGCGTCTCGGTTCTTTATTTTCGCTGAAGCGTAGAGACGCTCCAAGGGGAAGATCGGTGGAGTTGATATGGCGAGGAGCTTAACTCCGGTAACCTAGCTTTATGATGTCGAATAAAACTCATACAGCTAGATAACCAAAGAAAATGTCCGCGCCAAGATCCTCTTGATACGATAGTAGATTTTTATTCCAATCGCGCTGAACCACTCTGATAATAGATAAGCTAAAATAAATCCAATTATCAATCAAGGAATCTTAGACATACGTGCATTGAGACAAAAAAATATCTAAAAAAAAATAGTAAATATTTCTTTAGTGCGAGCACTAATAACATATTTATTTAAATCTAAATTTTTTTATTTAAATGGAATAAACGATTGCTTTCATGAAAAGCTAAGATTTTCTTGAGGTTTTAAGAAACTAGAAATTTTTAAGTGAAAGACTAATAAGATAAGGCGTAATAAGTCACTGAGTGAGCAAAGCTTAAAACTCTTATAATACCATACTTAAAGATTCAAAATGAAAGCCTGAAAGCAGAAGATTCGCCGTTAATCTTTGTCCTTTAAATACTTTGTCCTTTGTTATTGTCCTTTGTTATTGTCCTTTGTTCTCGCACATATGACTCGCACATTTCCAATTTTCTCGCTTTAATTCGGACGGTTTTCAGACAAAATTTCAGACTTAAGTCTTGCTTGATGGTTCTAGACTTTAGGTAGCGCCTACGATATTTTTCCTCTCAGTGTATAAATGTAATCATTTACAACGCTTTTATTTTCACGATACGAGTATTACAGCGCGAACGCTTTGGTCACAATTATTGGCGCGCACATTACTTTGTTTTAAGCATTTTTTTTTTATAATATCATAAAGATATGGATAATGTTGGGAGGTAAAATGAGCACCATGAGCTGTGAGTGAATCGTAAGCCAAATCGTGAGTTTCTCTCTCGTCTCAGTCGGAAGATCGCACGTTTAGCACTCCGCTTTCCAGGTCGCGAATTCCGATTACTCGTGATCACATCGGCACATAATACACGCGGCCGCGTCGTGCCTACTATCTGAAACAGATACAGAGAGAAATCGTAAATCGCCATGCAACAATCGTCCCTTTGTTGTGGATTGATCGATATGCGCGCGGTGGGGAGCGCGGAAAAGTGAAACAGCCGTTGACATTTCGGAGTGAAAGTCGCGTAACTTGGGCCCGCGGATACATAATGCCCAATGACTAAACATACACGCGAAAAGTCTCATAAAGGCTGCGAGAGCCGGCCTTCCTCGGTGCGAGAGCTCTTGACAAGGAAAAGGAAGAAAGAAAAAAAGAGAGAGAAAACATCGTCGAAAGTTATTCGTTGAACTCGTTATTCGCTCACACAAAGACATATATTAATAGTCATTACTTGAAACGTGCTTCAGGTAAGATGCTCAGATTTCGAATTTAGACTCGTGTTAAGGAAGTTAGTTACCTGAAATTTTTCTCATGTGAGATACTCAGATTTTTATTTGAAGTTTTATCCAAGTCTTTCAATCAAATTATAACACATGTATCATTTATACTTGTAATCGTGATTCAACTGAAAAATTCTCATTCAATTCTGAATTCAAATTTTGGTGTCTCACACTTGAGAGGAGTTTCAAGTAATGACTAGTACAGGCTCTTAGCGTTAAATATGAATTTTTCAGCTGAATCATGATTGCAAATGTGATGTCGCATATATTACGATCCAAATAAAGAACTTAAATCTAACTTTAAATTCGTGGTAGACAAGCTTCAAGTAATGATTATTAATACATGTGGAAAAAGTGTTTTAATACGATAATCGATCGAAACGACGTGATAGTTTTCTCGGTTCCATTGTGACTTTTGTAACGAAAAGCTGCAATTCGAGTACATTATCCAACATTAGCCACGGCAGAGATACGCGGATTTGTACAGTTCCGCGCCATGTGCTCAGCCGCGTTACGTGCCTTGTTACGTCATAATTACTCGCGCGCTCAGCAGCGCCGACACGTCATTCAGCAAGCCACGCGGATTTCAGCTTGACGAGGAGGATCTTCTCGCGTTCTAGTGGCCGGCTTAATTCGCATTCGCGGAACGATGCACACATGACTCGCGCCGCGCGCAAATTTTTCTCCGCATTTTTCGCCGCGGGAGCGTCGCGAACCGATCCGTCGCGCTCGTCTCCTGTTTCCTTAACGTTATCAATTAACAGCCGGCCAATAATTTACCGGAGGCACGTGCAGCCGCGAGATGCGGTTATAAATAGCGAGTGTAATTTACGCGCGACGTTCATCTCGCGAATTATCGCGGTATCGGTCCTCTCAATTCTCCTCTCGAGCGCGCACGGAGATATTATCGACCGGTGCTCTTTCCGTCTCTCCCCCCGACGCCGACATTAAAGGCTCTCTCGCACTTTTCATCACGTCGGACCGTCGGTATACGCACACGGACCGGTATGAAGTTTCGCAAGAACCTCCGCGTTCGGAGAAAGTTATGATCTCGCCATATCGGCGCGCTTACGTATCCGGATTCGATTTTATTTCCAAACCGTTCTCGCGCGCGCGATCAATCGATCGATCGCGCGCTTCCTCCCCCCCGTCCCTCTCTTCCGAGCGAGAATTTCCCGTATGCGAGGTGAGTGAGCCTTTCCGCTTTCGAAAGAAACCGGAGTCACGCTCGGCGTTTTATCAGACTGCCGTGGCGCCTTCTTTTATTTCTTTTTTTTTCTGTATATATAAATTGCATGTCGCCAAGCCAGGCGCCAGAAAAGAACAACCTGGTTATCGTTCCGCGTTCAACGCGAACGCGCTTATCTCTCGTGATAGTGTAACCTCGACATGCCCGATGGAAATCGGCGAGAACGGCGGGACCGATCGCACGAGATAGACGCCCGGATCAGCGCCGATATATGCATAACGCGACGTGCGCTCTATTTTACTACGCGACACGCGCTCGAGACAAAACGCTTTCGTGCGCAATCGACGCTGGGAATCGGCCGCGGAAGGCCGTGGCGGTACTAAATGCTATTTATAACGGTTTCGGGACTTCAGTACACGTGTCACAGATCGGTGACATGAACGACGAGCGTGATATGTGCTCGCGAGGTTTTTTTTTCAGCCAAATCAGCTCGCGTTTTCTTCCTTTAGAGCAAAATAAGCACACAAGGTGAGTCACCTGAGGTTAAATTCCAAAATATCTCCGCTGTTCTCCAGATAAATCTAAGACATCTAAAAGTTGTACGCACGAATGTACACAATGCAATCAAATCAAACTAAACTCGATGAGATCTTTCTAAAGTCAAGAAATCTATATGCATTTAGTCACGAGTCCATACTTTGTATCCAGCATATGGACTTTGTGACTGAAACGCAGACTACTTGACTTTAGAAGTATTTCATCGAGCTCACTTTGATTCTATTACACCACAACGTCCATGTGTGCAGACTCCTGAAGGCTCGCTAATTGATTTGATATCAGCAGAGCCTTTTTATGAAACTTTCTACTTTTATATTAGAGGAAAGTGTAAGAAATAACCTGTGGTTGTGAAAAGATTGGCTGACCGCAACATTTATCTCTTCCAACCACACAGTTTACTCCTTACAAATTTCCCTCTAAAAAGGAAACAACAGAAATATTTTAAAATCTAACGCTAGGCTACGACTCACCCTGCGTAATCAAGCATCTTCAAGGGAAAAGGAATAATGTTCCAGCGCAGCACTGGTGCGCGTCTAAAGAGAACAGACTAACTCTCTTCATTCTTCGATCGATCAGTGGCACTTTGCACTCGCCTAGGACAGCTTCGTCTCATTGTCGTGAATGATAACAACACACAAGATGTCAAGGACTCTCCCTCACCATATTGATTCGCGCGACCAATTTCCAGCTCGCTTTCTTTCCTCTGTTTCAGAGCGCAGCGAATTCCACGACGCGATTCCCGCGATTCTATCGGAGCCACGGCAGCAGCCTCTTATCCGAGCCGTGAAATCGAACGTAGCTACAGTAAATACACGTAAGTAACCTATCTGCCAATGATAAGCCGCCAGCCCCGCGGCCGGCCTTCGATTTCTCGCGTTCGTCTGCCACCGTTGTTACAGCTGAACTACAACGACATGCATTATCGTACCTCTTGAGTGTGTTCCGCGACACTGACAAGCGACAGTGGCACGTTTGCCAAGACGAAGAGCCGGGGCTCGCTGATAAGGCCCGCGAAGTTGTACGTTGTCAGGTCTATGAATGGCACGTTGGCGATCGTAGTCCGCCGATTTCGCCAAGCGATCGCACTTCTCCACGATTCGAATTTTATCCAAGACCGAGTTTCTCGATCTTAATAATGAGTATGTAAGTTCTGCGAAAGAATAAGCTCGTTCTTGCCTCGGCCTTTCGCTATCAGCGGTATCGCGACCGAATTAGATAAAGAAAAAAATTCGCGGAACGCTCAAATGTCGTAGAAGATATCGTCTCGCCGGAGTTTTATATCGAGGAGTTGCATCTCCGTCACGGCAGAAGCTGACACTGAGAAAAAATATCTAATACTATAATTCTAGACAAAATTGTAAAACTAGTAACTTGTTCTCGTAAGATTCGTAAGTACTTATGAGTAGATCTGCAATTCTATGCGGATCGTAAGTCATATAATAACTCATAAATATTTATAATTTTTTTTTTCGTAAGCTACGACTTTACAATTTTATGATTTACTTATATATTTGCTTAGAATTGCAGCATAAAAGATACAAAATATTTATTCGATAGGTGCTAATATAACTTATATTTACCAAAATCTAAATTCTCTTATTTAAATAGAGTAAACCATCACTTTCATGAAAAGCTAAATACTTTTTAAGGAAATATATACTTTCTAATATAAAATATTTGAAAAATATTTGATAAACATTTTTCAGATAATAATTCAAATACATATCAAATAAATATAACGGATATAAATGTATATTTTCTAATAGAAAATATTTAATATTTTCCAGATAAATATAGATAATTAAAATAAATATCGAATAACTAATAAATATTATATATGTATTGTATATTTTCTAATATAAAATATTTGAAAAATGTTTTATATTAGTATAAGCGAATATGTTGTTAGTGACCACTGAGTAAATATCTTTTATTTTTTAAATATTTTTTCTCTCAGTGCAGCAAATTTCAAATACATCAAGAGTCGAGATAAGATTTTTTTTAATCGTGTATAAGTTACATATCTCCGTAAGAGAAGATACACGCTAAGAGCAAGGCTATAATATTATTTATACACTTCGCAATTACTTATATGTTGTGTATTATATTTCTCGATATTTCTGCAATTTCGATTTGGACACGTAGCTCCGCGTCGATGTCGCGCGGGGACGATTTGAAGTTCTGGCAACGACAATGTCAGTTCGCAACGTTGGTTTGCCGATCTAATTAACGACGTCGCGTTCGGTGCAGCCGTTACAAACTCTCCTCTAGGCGATACCTGGCCTGTTGATCGTACCTGTTATCTCGTCGAATTCACGTAAGCGTAATGATTAGGCCGTAATTGTCAAAGCTCCGCGGAGATGCCGAAAAGAAATCGCGATCCCCTCGATTGGTAGTCGCGAGTCTGGCGAGTTCGATTTCGCGCGACGACCGATCAGTTCGAAATTCTAACGAGGCCGGCGCGATTTTCTTCAATCGATTTTACAGCGCGATTTTCTTCAATCATTTGCGCAAACACAGCTGCGCGGATGCTCAAAATAACTGCGGCTAAATGTCGTCTGACTCGCAGACATTATCACACGGTTACTTACTCTCGATTCAATTTCCTCCTGTCTCGTGTATAGAAAAATGCTCAAAAAGATTAAGAAACCGCAGGTGTGCAGCAGATAATTTCTCGCAAGAGTTAATCGCGGATCTGCCGTGGAAGCGAGATCCCGATATAGCTAATTATACCTGATAGATAGCTAATTATATCTTTTTTAATAGGATCACGATCTTGCAGAAAATCGAGAACAATTGACAAATAATCTTGCGTCAATATGTTCGACTTTCTTACGCACGTCTGAATATTTAAAACAGACGAGATCTCCTGTCCCTTGATTCGAAAACACTCCGATATTAAGTCTCACCATAAATCGCTTGCCCGGCAGCTTGATGAGAATCTTCTACCAAAGTCCGACTCGATTATGCAGAGTGAACAAAACGCAATTGAAATTTCGATACTCAATCACCAAGAGAAACAAATCCGCGCTTGATGAATCGCGCGAAGAGTCTCGAAACTAAGTAAAAAGTGAGCTTTTGACACACACACACACATATATATGTATATACATATATTTATACGTCGTCGTCGATCACGCGAACAGTAGGATAAATGCTCGAAGTAATATCTTTGTGAGGTGATAATAAAACCGACAAGCCGCGACGCATATTGAACTTGAATTATCGCTAGATACCATACGACATTTATATTTCAAATTGCTCGCAATAAAGCCGCCATCTCCAAGAATCGACGCATGATCGCACGCGCTACGTGATAATAAATATATAAGCAAAATTAAGTGAACTCTCTCTCTTTCTTCCCCTCTCTCTCTCTCTTCCCCTCTCTCTCTCTCTTCCCCCCTCTCTCTCTCTCTTCCCCCTCTCTCTCTCTCTCTCTCTCTCTCTCTCTCTCTCTC